TCGGACGGCGCGGGGCGGAGGCGTGGCGAGGCGAGGCGAGGCGAGGCGAGGCGAGGCGAGGCGCGGCGCGGCGTTTTGACGGCGGTCGTGAATGATCGATCGATCAATCGATCCGCGGAACCTGGAACGAGGATGATCCCGTGCGCGCGGCACGTTCCCGATCATTAGTGCCTGATTGCGCCGCTTATAAAAGTCATTTACGCTCGGACGAGCGCGATTCCGGATGGACGCGACAGAAATGCACGTCCGGTTTTTTTTTCCTCTTTTTTTCCCTCCTTCTCCTCCCCCCCCCTCCCCTCTCCCCATCCTCCCCTCCTATCTCGTTCATATAGTATATGTAACGCGTTTCTCTTCTCGACGAGTGACTCGAATGTCGGAAAATGGAAAGCCACAATTCCCCCATCACGATACAAGACCGAATTAATAAAGCGTGGAGAACCATCAGATCGTATTTTCGCAAAACGGGACCAACTAACGATATTTTCGTTTATGATGGTGATTCTGTTTCGTTGTTTGACACAATATGTGATGCAGATGCAAAACTTCATATTCGCGAACTCGCTTTGTACGCGCGTATTTTTTTTTTCAGGAAATATTGCTCTCGCATCTAAAAATCCATATATTCCAGGAATATATTGTGAAATATATATAACAATATTTCGACGCGCGTGTTGCCCTTCGTAGGCAAATTTTCCTATATCACCGCTGCTGTATAGATTTTATTTTTTATTAGGAGAAACGCTAAACAGATTTTGAAAATTGCAAATATAAAATTCAAATTCTAAATAGCGAAAGGCAAAGGGAAGCTTTTTCTATTATTATCGGGCAGAAAATTCAGAATTGATTCCTTGATCATTCGATGAAGAACAGTCGCGACTCAACAAAGCATCTAATCTTTCGTGTGTGGACACGCGTCAAAATTTATAACATGCCAAAATTGTTTACTCAAGGCTGGATTGTGAAAGCTTAAAATCCAACTTAGATATTCAAGGGTAGTCTTCTAATCACATTTCAATCTCCGGACATGAGTCCCGAGTCTGACTGGAAAACAGAAGATCAGCGATGATCTCTTCCTAAGCAGCCGTACCCGAGAGAAACGCGAAAGCAAATATTGCACGTTAATTAAAGATATCTGTAATGTACATGTAATATAGTATGTATATGTGTGTGTATGTGTGTGTATGTACATGTATACGCGATATCATTTAAGATATAAAATTATCATCGCGCGGTAAACGTGACACTCGGTCCGCCTGAGGTAATAAATGTTTCCCGCGCTAAGCTCAGCAAGTAATTACAGTGTACTTCCTGCTTCGCAGTGATATACCTATGCTAATACAGTGCGGTGGCAATTAAAGAGCCATTCCAGCGAGAGCATCCATTAAAATTGTACGAGATACTTGGCTCTTAGGTAAATTATACTAGGCGTCGCAAGACGCGACTATCATTTAGTTTAATATTATCAATCTGTTGATAATTCAATTCGGGATCCGATGATTCCGGGATTTGTTAATTGAGACACTTAGGTTGCATACCAGATACTTTGAACTGCAATAAAAAAAAAAAATTATTCGCATTCCTTCCTCTAGAAAAAAACTTCTAAGGATATCGGTCGAGAAGCTTATACTTTTA